ATTGAGAAAAATCAGGCTATTGAAATCTATTGGTTTGCTAGGTCTTCCATGACTAGGTGGCTTAAACAACAGAAATTTATTTTCTCACAGTTCTGGAAGCTTAAAGTCCAAGATCAAGGTGTCAGCATGCCTCTCTCCTTTGCTTGGAGATAGCCACGTTCTCCTCTGTGTCCTCAGATGGTCTTTTCTCTGTGGGCACACATCCCGCTGTCTCTTCTATTTCTTATAAGGACAGCAGTCATATTGAATTAGGGCCCCTTATGACCTCATTTAACTTTAATTACCTTTTAAAAGGCCCTATCTCCAAATATAGCCACATCGGGGTTAGGGTTTCATAATATGAATTTCGAGGGAACACTTTATAACAGTCCACAACATGAGATTGTATAGAAAAAAACTCTAAAGATTTGGAAGCATTTTTTCTTCAGGCTTCCAACCAAATGGTAACTACCAAATGTGTGAATGGGCAGAAAATGAGGTGGAAAACATCTACCTGGCTTATGTGGCCAACAGTGTCTAAATTTTCTTTGTTTTTTTTTCCCACATACCCTATTTCTTCTTTTCCCTTTCCTGGAGTGGTAGTTTACTACCTGGGTGAAAACAACACAGTCCCTTACTCCATATCTAGGGCAAATAATATTTTGGTAATATACAGAGTGAGTTAACCAAGATGAGGGGTAGTATGGGGGTTGGATGGGGTGGGGAAGGGTATGGTCTAGTTCTAAAGGATTAATTTCTACTTATTACAGTAAACCTTTGCTCCCTTTTGTTCCATGCCCTTCCTGTACTCAGTTCTTTGCCTTTCCTTTTAATTGTAGACTGGAAGTAAAGGTATTTGGAATTACGGGTATTAAGTTAGTCTTTTTATGTCCACTCCGTTCCTGCCACTGAGTGAGACAAGATAGGGATCTAACCCTTAGAGAAGAGAAATAAAAGTGATCCTTTTAACAGGAAAAAGAACTAAAATAAAATTATATTTTAATTTCAGGAATTAGAGAAAATGGAGGGTCAAAGATTTTTGGTGGGGGGGGGTAGGTGTTTATAGACAAGAACATCTATCTTGTGGTCTTGACAGAATGAGAGATCTCAGTCGAGAGAAAATGAACAAAATAGGTTTCTCTCCTAAGTTATCTTGAGCCTATTTCTATAAATGTTGATGTTGGGAGTCACTATCTGGAGACATCTCCCTGCTGTATAAGGCAATGCTGAGTGACTTAAAATCTTCTGCATCTGTTCTTCAGTTTCCTCCACCTTGAGTGTGGAGGATAGGTGTGTTACTCAGTATGTGCCTGGATGGGAGTCAATTAGAGGTTAGAAAAAGAGGATAATAAGAAGATAGAAGAAACGGTAGTAAGGCAGTAATGGGCTATAATCAGTGCAGAATTAGAATTGCTATTTATAGGCTCTAGTTTTTCTTCTGATCCAATTCATGGTTAGGTGGGTCTAGAGAAATAAAAAAGAAAAAGGGATGATGGAGAATAATAATATTAGCCAAAATTTACTGTGTGCTTACTCTAATTCTAGGCATTTATCTAAACACTTTGCAAGCATTTTATATAATCCTTGCAACAACAGTAGGTACTATTATTATCACCATTTTACAGACAAGAAAGCAGGCAGAGTGGGAATTTTACTTGCCTTGGATCACATAGCTGGTAAATAAGGGGTGGAGACAGAACTCATACACAAATAGCTTGATTACAGACTCCACTCATTTACATGACATAGATTCAAGATAAGGAGGTGGCATAGAATGACTAGGGCCGTAGTTCCCAAACCCTGTGCCAAGGTACAAATTCATAGTGGCACCCACCATGGTATATTTAAAAATTTTAAAGGAAATACAGCAATAATCAACATTTCTTGTATACCATACAAACTACTTAGCATGAGGTAATTCACAATTTGAACATTAGATTGTGCTATTCCTTTTGATTTCAAAATATCTTTGTGAAGCTAGGTTTTAGGATATCCCTTTGATAAAAAAAAAAGTAAGTACTGTGTGAAAATCAGCACAGAACAGGAAATGGGGATAGCAGTGTTGTATTCCAAGGTTTGAGAAGTTGTGCAGTGTCCAACAGGCATATACATTCCATTAGTAACTATTTATTGCCTTTTCAAGAAAAAAATAATTTTTTCTTCTGACTTGTATTATTTTTTAAAAATGGTTACTAAGCCGTTAGGAGCCAACCACTTAAAAAGCAAAACTGTTAGGTGTTTCTTTTGACCTAGGGATGCTGTAAATAATTGCTGAGATACTAAGCATACTATAAACTAAGAAATTGAGAACGGCTAGACTGGAGTGCTAAAAACAGATCAAAATGGTCATAAAGGAATAGAGTATGGGAACTTGGCTTGAGATGGCTGTAAAAAATAATATAAATGAAGCCACTTTAAAATGCAGTTGGAGCTACCATTGCAGAGGCACTGCCTTGCATGTTTTATTCCTTAAACCTTTGAAATGTTAAAACTGGACAAAATAACCTTTGGGCCTAAAGCAGCACTGTATTCCAAGCAACTGTTTCCAAAGATAACAAGAAAGCAGATATTGTGACTATAGGACTGAAAATTTAAAACATTCTTTAAAATTAGCATCACTGTATTAGCTTATCTACACCTATAGAAATTCCTTCTAATCAAGTAATTATTCCCCTTTCTTTTTTCATAAATACCCCTTCCCTTCACCTTCTGTTTCGTTTCTGCCTGAATCAGTGAGTGCTTCTTGAATAGCTCTTCTTTTGGATCTCAAATAAACACTTGTTTGCCTCTCACTATGGCCTTTTATTTTTAGGTTAACATGACCTAAACAGATATAATAAACATTTAACAGGCATTTTATATTTTCAACCATTAAGTATCTGCTGTATACCAGTATTCACAGTACAGCAGATGCACACACACACCACTTGAATCTGTCTGTATACTTTAAAGGTCAAAACCTGTGAGGGAAGCAAAAAGATGTAAACAAACCAAGGTTAGGGGTAGGACAGGACCCAAGTAGGGTTTGATGCAACCAAGAGCCTGGGCCCTCTTGTGGACTAGACCACAAGATAAAGATGTGGTCTGAGGAGACCTGCTGAGCCTCAAAAAGTAGACTCCTCTCTGGGCCATTGGTGAATCTGAGATGAAAGAGATTGGGTACTCAAGTGATTATGCAGAACCTTGGTTGCTGAACTTGAATTCAGAATAAAGTTTGTTGTGTAGTTCTGAAGGGTACGGCACCCTGGTCTGGTAAACTGTCCTTGCCTGTCACAGTACAAAGAAACAGTATATTTCTTTGGTGACTGGAATATTTATATATACTGCAGACTCTTCCCTATGTGATGTTGGAGAAACACGAAGAAGACTGAGCCTGTCCCTCAATTTTCCTTTTGCAGATATATTGCAGATCATCATTTTTGGGTTCACATACACTTACTTTAGACAGAGTCCATTGAAATCAATTGATTAAGTTTGCACTTTCTCAGATATAATATCTTTTGTGTAAGCTGGTTTGGATTTGGGATGGTGAAAAAAAAATATCTTTCAGCAACCGAATTGGATAGATATTTCCTTAGGCTGGATTTTACCTGAGACAGCGCTTACTCATCTTTTAAAATCATGCTTTCAATGTTTCAATACTTTATAGTCCCATTATTAAGATCACTAATATTTACTTTAGATTGCTCTATTATCTTCATTAAAATTATGGGTGAATAAGGATAGTAATAATAATAATACTTTATATATATAATTTTTTATTTATATATATATTGTATTTACTCCTATGTCCTTAGCACTAAAACAGTTCTGGTACATAATTGATGTTCAATAAATATTTCTTACACGAATGAGAGAGAAACAGGGCTGAGAAACAATGGCTTGGGCCACGGTGATGGGTAAAATGGCAAGCAGGAAAGATTAGAGTTTAGGAGAGTGGAAACATGTGAAGGATTCCAATAGATAAGTAAGTGCCATTGATTTGTGATTTTATATGAAGCTAGTTAAAGTTATAAAAGAGGGGAGAGGAAATAGCTGAATTCTTACAAAGAGGTTATATTGTGTAGTTCTTTTACTGGAATTTTCCTCTTGAGAGGAGTCGTTCTCTAGTTATCCGTATTGCTTGGATCCAGTATTGTGTTAAATCAAGAGACTGTCTGCGTTTTCCGGTCTTATCCCCACTCCTTGTCTGTGCAGAAGATCTAGGAATTCTTTCGCCTAGAACTTTTTCTTCTCCGGGTCTGGGCCTAGATTTAGACCCCTGATACGTTCTCCCCAATTCTGTAACTTCCAGGTCAGCAATGTTGCTAGGGTCGACCCTGTTTCCTTTGTCCAGGAAACAACTCAAACGTAGGCTTAATTTTATTCTGTGGTTGCACGGTCTAAGGTATAAATTTTTTCTTTTTAAATCTCTCACGGTTTGCTGCAGACACAACTTGGAATGGAGTTGCAGATAGATGGGGGAGGGATGGTTAGGGGATTCCCTCTCTGGCTTCTAGTCCTCTTCCGGCATAGACTTCCTTGCCGGAAAACCAAGTTTTACGGACCAGAATCGGTGCAGGGATGAAATGCCGAATGCCCTTCTAATCCGCCACCCAGCCGGGGTTGGGGGTGGTGGTGGGGGTAGTGGGTGGGGCGGGGGTG